GGGTGGGGGGAGGGGAAGGACAAGCGGAATTCCCGGGATTTTGGTTTGGTTTGGGATTTCCAGCTGGAGAACTCCGGGAGGAGCCGGATTTGAGGAATCTCCGGGAGGAATTCCGGGGATTCCAGGAGAGGAGGGCGGATCCCGGGGTTCCCGAGGCTGGGGAATGTTGTTCCATTAAAGAGTTGGCACTTCCTGCTGGAATTCCCACTTTTCTTCCCCCTGGAAAAGGGGGGTGGGAACCTCAGCAATGGGGATTTATCCCAGGAAGAAAACAGGGATGGGGAATTCCGGGGGAAAGGTCGGGATTGGCCGGAGCTGGACGGGTTTGGGATCGCCGGAGGGTCCGGATCCCGTCGGGATTTGGGATCCCTGGATTTGGGGTTCTCATCCCATCCCTGGGTTTGGGATCCCTGGATTTGGAATTCTCATCCCATCCCTGGATTTGGGATCCTTGGATTTGGGATCGCTGGATTTGGGATTCTCATCCCATCCCTGGATTTGGGATTCTCATCCTTGGATTTCTTTGGGATCCCTTGAGTCTGTCCTGATCCCATTCCAGGGATTTGGGATCCCCCTTTCCTCATCCCATCCCTGGATTTGGAATTCTCCCATCCCCGGATTTGGGATCCCTGGATTTGGGATTCTCATCCCTGGATTTCTTTGGGACCCCTGCAGTGAGTCCTGTCTTCACCCATCCCACATTCCCAAAATCCCTGGATTTGGGGTTTTCCTCCCATCCCCCTTCCCCCTCTCCTCCAGCTCATTCCCAGCTTTTCCTGCAATTCCAGACGCTTTTCCCCCCTTCCCTTGATCCCATTCTGGAAATCTTCTGGAAAATTCCTGGAAAAATCCTCTCCTGCCACTTCCTGGTGCCTTCCAACCTGGAATTCCCAAAATCTACCAAATCCCGGGATTTTCCTGGGGTTTTTTGCCCAGTTTCTGCTCCCAAACACCCCCAGAGCTTGGAATTCTTGGAATTCCTGCAATTCCCAGAGCTCAATCCTGAATTTCTTGGGAATTTTCCACCCAATTTTGGCCATTCCCAAATCCCGGGAAGCTCCGTCATTCCCAGCTCCAGGATTTTCCCTTCAAATCCTTTCATTTGCACCCAAAATCCGGGATCACAGGGCTGGAAAAACCTGGATTTTCCCAAAATTCCTGCTCAAATCCCGGATATTCACCGGAATTCTTCCTCTGGGGATTTCTTTTCCAACAATTCCACATTTTTATCAACAAGAAATTGATGGAATTTTGAGGATTTAATCAGATTTTCCCATCCTTTCCTGGCTCCTGGGAATATTTGGATCCTGTTTTTCCAGAGGTTGGGAATGCTGCTCCGGATCCTGGAGCCGAATTCGAATATTCAAATATGCAAATGAGATGCAAATGAGCTGTCGAAATAAATTTCTTTTTTATTGCGGATTTTACAAAAATAAATTAAAAAGAAATAAATTAAACCCCCCCTCTCCCCCCCCTTTTCCTTCCTTTCCTGGAATTCCCACGGAATTCCTACTCCAAGGAAAAAAATCAAAGGAAAAACCATTCCCGAATTTCTCCCTCCTCCGAAATTCCAGAGATTGTTTTTGTTGGTTTTTTTTTGAGAAAGGGATGAAAATTCCCCGGATTTGGGGCTTTTCCCTCTGGGAATTCTCTGCTCCAGAGGGAAATGGGATCAAAGCCATTCCCGGGGTTTTTTGGGAAAATCCCGTGGGATGAGGAGCCGGAGCCTCCTGGAATTTTGGGGTCTCTGTTTCCCGGAATTCGCAACATTCCCAGGGCTCCCTTTTCCCGGGATCTGCCCCAGGATTTCTGGGATATTCCAGGCCAGGTAGGGGGATTGGGATCCTCCTGCATCCACATTCCCAAATCTTCCCAAATTCCATTCCCAGTTCCCAGATCTCCATCACAAATTCTCAAGTCTCATTCCCAATTCCCAAATCTCTGTCCCCGCTCCCAAATCTCCATCCCAAATTCCCAGATTCCATTCCCACGTTCCCAAATCCCCAATCCCAAATTCCATCCCCAAATCTCCATCCACAATTCCCAAAGCTCTGCCCTGAATTCCCAAATCTCCATCCCCATTCCCAAACTCCATCCCTAATCCCAAACTCCATCCCAAATTCCCAAATTTCCCTTCCCCGATTCCCACCTTCACAAATTTCCCTCCCCAATTCCCAAATTTCCCTTCCCCAATTCCCACCTTCCCAAATTTCCCTTCCCTGATTCCCACCTTCCCAAATTTCCCTTCCCAAACTCCATCCCCAATTCCCAAATTTCCCTTCCCACATTCCCAAATTTCCCTCCCCGATCCCAGTGGGATTTTCCCAGGAACACGGAGCCTTTCCCTCGGGAATCCCGGATTCCCCTGCCCTTATTGCTCTGCAAAATGGCTTCGATTTGGGATCCCAAAAAACCCCAAACCCCAAAATTCCATGGATTCTTCGAAATTCCATGGATTCTTCGAAAGAGGAGGGGGAAAAAAAAACCCTCAAAAAATTCCAACCTGATTTTTGGGAAGAGGAACAGGAGGAGACTCGGGACCACCCCCCCTTTCCCCGCTTTTCCCTCTTTTTCCCAGATTTTTCCCTTTGGGAATGGTTGTCCCCAAGTGCCACCAACCCCGCGAAGCGAAGCAGGGAAAGGAGGGAGCGCATTCCCAGCGTGGATCCCGCTGGAAAAGCCGATCCAGGGAATCCCGGGAATCCCGGAATTCCTTCCCGCGGCAGCAGCGAAGCGGCTCCCACCCCCTCCCCCATTGTCCCTCCCCGTGTCCCCTCCTTGTCCCGCCCCTTATTGCGACAGAATTCCAGGGAATTCGGAGCTGGAGCCGGGAATGTCCCGCTGGGATTTGGGATTTGGGAGAAGCGGCACCGGCGGCGGGATCGGGGTTGGGATTTAGTGCAAGAAACGCTGCCCATGCACGGCATTCCCGGGAAATGCGCCCCATTCCCGGCTGGAAAACTCCCGGGAAGGATCTCCGGGATTCGGGATTCGGGATCCAGGCGGGGGGAGCGGGCGGAGCAGGGTTGAGGCACGGCTGAATCGGGCTCGTCCCGGGCATCCCGGGAATTCCAGGAGCGGGATGCGGCTCCCGGAGGATCCCAAGGCTGGAGCGCGGCGTCTCTGGGGGAAACGGAGTGTGGGAGAGTTTGGGATGCTCCAAAAACCGGGATAACTGCGCCCGGTGCTCGAGGAAACCGGGATAACCGCCCCCGGTGCCCACGGAAAACCGGGATGCTCCAAAAACCGGGATAACTGCCCCCGCTGCCCGTGCAAGCCGGGATAACTGCTCCCGGTGCAGATGGAAAACCGGGATGCTCCAAAAGCCGGGATAACCGCGCCCGGTGCAGAAGGAAAACCGGGATAACTGCCCCCGGTGCCCACGGAAAACCGGGATGCTCCAAAAACCGGGATAACTGCCCCCGCTGCCCGTGCAAGCCGGGATAACTGCTCCCGGTGCAGATGGAAAACCGGGATGCTCCAAAAGCCGGGATAACCGCGCCCGGTGCAGAAGGAAAACCGGGATAACTGCCCCCGGTGCCCACGGAAAACCGGGATAACTGCCCCCGGTGCCCACGGAAAACCGGGATAACTGCCCCCGGTGCAGATGGAAAACCGGGATGCTCCAAAAACCAGGATAACTGCCCCCGGTGCCCATGGAAACCGGGATGCTCAAAAAACCGGGATAACTGCCCCCGGTGCTTATGGAAAACCGGGATAACTCCCTCCGGTGAGCCTGGGAAGTTTCAGGATGCTCCAGCCGCACCGGGATGTCCCAGCCGAACCGGGATCACTCGCGCCGTGCCCGCTCCCGGGGCTCCACCGCTCTCAGGCCTCCCCCGCTGTCCCCCCCGGGGCGGTGGCGGCGGCTCCGCGCGGCGGGGACGGGGGGACCCGTGGGGACACAGCCCGGGGGACCGGAGGGACACGGGGGGACACAGCCCGGGGGGACACCGTGGGGACGGCGGGGACATGACAGAGCACCGGGGCGGAGCGCGGCGCTGGCGGCCCCCGGGCCGGCCCCGCGGGCGAGCGGCGGCGAGAGGCTCCCGACGGCCACGGCCGCTCGCAGCAGGGACCGGGCGGCTCCCGGAACGGCCGGAACCGGGGGAGTCCCGCTCAGAACCGGGCACCGCCGCCCTCCTCCTCCTCCTCCGCCCGGTTCCCCGGCTCCCCGTGCTCCGCTCGGAACCGGGCACGGCCGCTCTCCTCCGCCCGGTTCCCCGGCTCCCCGTGCCCCGGGAGCCCCGCTCAGAACCGGGCACCGCCGCTCTCCTCCCCCGCCCGGCTCCTCCCGCCCCCCCGGGACCCCCGGAGCCCCCGGTCAGAGCCGGGCACCGCCGCCCTCCTCCTCCGCCCGGTTCTCCGCTTCCTCCCGAGCCCCTTCCTCGTTGAGATGCGCCTTCCCGGGCCCCGCGTCCGCCGAGGGCCCCGCCCGGGGCTGCGGGGACGCTCCGGCCGCTCCCCCGTTGGCACCGAGCCCCTCGGACTTGCCGAAATTAAAGAGCTTGCCGGGGTTGAAGGGCTTGGTGGGCGACTGCACCTTCTCGGTGCCCGCGTCCCGCTTAGTCTCGGGCGATTTGAGGAATTTGAAGCTCAGGAACCCCGGCAGTTTGTTCTCGCTGCCCGTGGGCGACTGCGGCGACCTGGCGGTGGCGGTGCCAGCCGCGCCGGTGCCCCCGGACAGGAATTTGCCCTGCAGGGGGATGATCTGCTTCAGCTTCATCACGTTGTTGGTGGCCAGCAGCGAGCTCGGCCGCTTGGGTTTGTCGGGGCCGTGCGCGGAGGAGCCGCCGGAGCTTTTCCCCTTGGCCTGGCCCTTGTCGTGCGCCGGGTCCTGCCCGGTGGCCTCGGCCTTGGTGGCCTCGTCGCGGGCGGGGTCGCGGTCGCGGCGCGCCTGGAGCTCGGCGTGGCGCTGCCGCTCCTCTTCCTCGCGCTTGCGGCGCTGCTGCTGCTGGAAGTGGTGCTGGGCCTGCCGCTCGTGCTTCTGGGGACAGGCACGGGGACATCGAGGGGACACCGGGACATGGAGGGGATACAGCCACAGGGACATCGAGGGGACACCGGGACATCGAGGGGATACAGCCACGGGGACATCGAGGGGACACCGGGACATCGAGGGGATACAGCCACAGGGACATCGAGGGGGCACCGGGCATGGGGACATCGAGGGGGCACCGGGGCATCGAGGGGGCACTGGGCATGGGGACATCGAGGGGACACCGGGACATCGAGGGGGCACCGGGCATGGGGACATCGAGGGGACACAGGGACATCGAGGGGACACCGGGGATGGGGATATCGAGGGGACACCGGGAGTGGGGCACAGCCAGGTGACATTAAGGGGACACAGCCACAGGGACATTGAGGGGACACCGGGACATCGAGGGGACACATCCACATTGAGGGGACAGTGATGGGGACATGGAGGGGACACAGGCACTGGACACTGAGGGGACAGCGATGGGGACATTAAGGCGACACCAGGACATGGAGGTGACACTGGGCAAGGGGTGAGGCCAGGGACATCGATGGGACACAGCCAGGGGACAATGACAGGGACATCAAGGGGACACCAGGACATTGAGGGGACACCAGGCGTGGGGCATGGCTGGAGGACAGAGCCAGGGGACACATCGAGGGGACACTGGGCATGGGGCACAGCCAGGGGGCACAGCCAGGGGATATTGAGGGGACAGAGACAGGGGACACATCGAGGGGACACTGGGCATGGGGCACAGCCAGGGGGCACATCTAGGGGACATCGAGGGGCACATTCAGGGGACACTGGGCATGGGGACACCTCGGGGAGGTCACTGGGTCCAGGGACACTTTGGGGAGGCCACTGGCTATGGGGACACCTCTGGGAGCCCAGTGATGCTGGGGACACCCTGGGGACACCTTGGGGACACCGTGGGGACGTCACCCCGGTAGGACCCACCTTGAAGGCCTCGCGGCGCTGGTACTCCAGCTTGGCCATCTCCTCGGCCACCCAGGCGGGGATGTCGGGAATGGCCACCTGGATGACGTACTTGAGGAGCAGGGCGAAGTGCTGGGGACACGGGGACACGGGGACATGGGGACACAGCTCAGCATTCCGGCATTCCTGAAATCCTGTCCTTCCACCCCAAAATCAGGCCTTTCCACCCCAAAATCCTTCCCTTGCATCCCAAAATCTGCCCCTTCCATCCCAAAATCCATCCTTTCTACCCCCAAATCCACCCCTTCCACCCCAAAATCTGGCTCAGTGTCCTGGGAATTAATGAATTAGTTGTCCAGGGATTTGAGTACCCAGGGATTTCCTACCCAGGGATTTCATTCCCAGGGATTTGTGGCCCATCCAGCCCAGAACTCCCCCGGCCATCCCCACCCACGGCCGTGACCTAACCTGGGACCCCAAACCCCAGCAGGGTGATCCTCAGTGACCCCAAACCCCGGAGGTGACCTGGGGTGACCCCAAACCCCAGCAGGGTGACCCTGGGCGACCCCAAACCCCAGTAGGGTGATCCTGGGTGACTCTGGGCACCCCAAACCCCAGCAGGGTGATCCTGGATGACCCCAACCCCCAGCAGGGTGACCCCAAAGCCCGGAGGTGACCCCGGGGCACCCCAAACCCCAGCAGGGTGACCCTGGGTGACTCTGGGCTGACCCAACCCCAGCAGGGTGACCCTGGGTGACCCCAAACCCCAGCAGGGTGACCCCAAACCCCAGCAGGGTGACCCCAAAGCCCGGAGGTGACCCCGGGGCACCCCAAACCCCAGCAGGGTGACCCCAAAGCCCAGCAGGGTGACCCCAAAGCCCGGGGGTGACCCCGGGGCCCCCCAAGCCCGCCGCCCCGGGGTACCTCGAGCACCACGACGGAGACGATGGCGGCCTGGGGGCTGAGCCCCGGGAAGAGGCGCTGCAGCTGCCCGCACTGCGCCAGCAGGAAGCAGTTGACCACGATGGCCACCACGCCCATGGCCTCCATCACCTTCTGCGCGCGTTAATTGGAGGGGTCCCGTTAATTGGGTAATTAGCGCGGCGGGGGATGGCCAGCGGGGTGGTCGGAGCGTGTCAGTCGCGTTTTGGGTGGGGAGGGGGGTTAGGGAGAGGGGAAGGAGGTTTAAAGAGGGAAAAAGGTTTGGGGGTAATTAAAAGAAAGAGGGGTTAGAATGAAATGAAATTTAATAGTGATGTCTAATTATAATAGTTAATAATAGTGTTTAATAGTAGTTAATAATGTTTAATAACTATTATGCAATAGTTAATAATAGTTACTCATAATGGGTATACTAGTTATCAATAATAGTTATTAATAATAGGAATTAATAATATTTAATAATAATAGCTATTAATAATAACAACAGTGAATTATAGTTATTAATAAGAGTTATTAATAATAGTTGTTAATAATATCTAATAATATGTATTAATAATAACAGTGAATAATAGTTATTAATAATAGGACTTAATAATATTTAATAATAATAGCTATTAATAATAACAGAGAATAATAGCTATTAGTGATAGGAATTAATAATATTTAATAACAATAGTTATTAATAATAACAGTGAATAATAGTTATTAATAATAGTTATTAATAATAATTATTATACTAACAGTAAATAATAGTTATTAATAATATTTGATAATAGTAACTAATAATAATTAATAATACATTTAATAATAAATAATTATATTATGCAATAATATTAAATAATCATATTTAATAAATTTTAATGTTTTTAATTGATAAAGAAATAAAATTTAAAATTTCAGTTCATTTATTATTTTTGAATTATTTAGGGAGAGAAGCTTTTTCGTTAATGTTTGTTAGTGGATTAACAATTGTCAGGTGCTACAGATGGAATTCCAGGTGGGAGTTTCGGGTCAGACGCGGGGAGCCCGTGAGCAGCTCCTCTGGAAATGTCATTTCTGTGCCACCCCAGGGGACAAAGAGCCCCGATCTGCTGCTGGCCCCGCCGGCCCCGCTGGCCCTGCTGTCCCCAGTGTCCCCTCTGTCCTCGCTGTCCCCGTGCCCCACCTGCCAGCGTCCCCATGTCCCCATGTTCACAGTGTCCCCTCTGTCCCTGTGTCCCCTCTGTCTCCACGTCCCTGTGTCCCCGTGTCCCACCTGCCAGTGGCCGATGCTGGCCCCATGTCCCTGTGTCCCCTCTGTCCCCGTGTCCCACCTGCCAGTGTCCCCGCGTCCCCTCTGTCCCCATGTCCGTGTCCCACCTGCCAGTGGCCAATGCTGGCCCTGTGTCTCTGTGTCCCCGTGTCCCTGCTGGCCCCGTGTCCCACCTGCCAGTGTCCCCACTGTCCCCATAGCCCCATGTCCCCATGTCCACGTCCCACCTGCCAGTGGCCGATGCTATCCCCGTGTCCCTGCTGTCCCCTCTGTCCCCGTGTCCGTGTCCCACCTGCCAGTGTCCCTGCTGTCCCCGTGTCCCCACGTACCTGCCAGTGGCTGATGCTGTCCCTATGTCCCCTGTGTCCCCATGTCCCCATGTCCATGTCCCACCTGCCAGTGTCCCTGCTGTCCCCATGTCCCCACGTCCCCATGTACCCTGATGGCCACAGGGACACCTCAGGGAAGCCATGGGACACCTGGGGATCCTGGTGGCCACGGGGACACCTCAGGAAGGGACGCTTTGGGAGGCCACCAGACACGGGGACACCTCAGGGAAGCCATGGGACACCTCAAGTCCTGATGGCCATGGGGACACCTTGTGAAGGCCACAAGCCATGGGGACACCTTGGGGATCCTGATGGCCATGGGGACACCTCAGGGACCCCACAAGCCCTGGGGACATTTTTGGGATCTTGATAGCCATGGGGACACCTCAGGGAATCCATGGGACACCTCGAGTCCTGATGGCCATGGGGACACCTCAGGGACCCCAGGGGACACCTGGTGGCCACGGGGACACCTTGGGAAGGGACACTTTGGGAGGCCGTACCTGCCAGTGGCCGATGCTGGCCACGCGCTGCCCGAAGGGTCTCTGCAGGCCGCTGCAGAGCTTGAAGGCGTCGCTGCGGATCTCCAGCACGTTGTTGAGCAGCGCGCAGGCGGCCGCCAGCGGGAAGGCCGAGGAGAAGAGCACCACGTAGCCAAACTGGATGAACATCTCCTGGTAGTCCTGGAAGGTGTCCTGAGGGGACAGCGGTGACACGGGCACGTCACCGCGAGCGCCGGGGTGGGTTCTGGGGGGACAGCTCAGGAAGGGACGCTTTGGGAGGCCACCAGACACGGGGACACCTCAGGGAAGCCATGGGACACCTCGAGTCCTGATGGCCATGGGGACACCTCAGGGACCCCAGGGGACACCTCAAGTCCTGATGGCCACAGGGACACCTCAGGGAAGCCATGGGACACCTGGGGATCCTGGTGGCCACGGGGACACCTCAGGAAGGGACGCTTTGGGAGGCCACCAGACACGGGGACACCTCAGGAAAGCCCTGGGAACACCTTGGGGATCCTGAGGGTCACAGGGACACCTCAGGGACTCCATGGGACACCTCAAGTCCTGATGGTCATGGGGACACCTCAGGGAAACTATGGGACACCTTGGGGATCCTGATGGCCACGGGGACACCCCAGGGACCCCATGGGACACCTCGAGTCCTGGTGGCCACAGGGACCCTCAGGGAATCCATGGGACACCTTGGAGATCCTCGTGGCCACAGGGACACCTCAGAGAGCCCCGGGAACCTCTTGGGGAACCCAGCAGCTCCAGGGACAAGGGGACAAAGGGACAGAAGCCACCCACCTCGTACTTCTTCATGCAGCTCTCCACCTCAGCCTGGGTCAGCTGCGTGGAGTAATCCTCCTCGGGGGGGTCAATCCACGAGGCGCGGTTGCGCTTCCTCCCTTCCTCCTCGCCCTCCTCCTCCTCCCTCCTCCTCCTCCTCGCCAGCACCGCCGGCTCCGCCGCCCTGCCGGGGCTGCCGGGCTGCGCTTCGGCCTCCTCCTCCTCCTCGCAGAGCTCGAACACGGCGGCGGGGTCCATGCCCTTCTCCACCATGGTGGGGCTGCCCTCCTCCAGGAAGGGCTCGTCCTCGGGCCCGGCGGGCTCGGGGCGCCGCTCGCCGCGCTCGATGAAGCTCACCTTCTTCAGCTTCAGCCCGCAGTCCAGCGCGCTCTCCTCCTCCGAGTCCGAGCCGCGCCGCTCTTCCTCCTCCTCCTCCTCCTCCTCCTCGGGACCGCCGCAGCCGCCGTTGAGGCACTTCTTGCCGTGCGGAGGGGCGGCCGGGGGCGGCCGGGGGGCGAGCAGGCGGAGCAGGGCGCGGAGCAGCTGCCGCACGCCGCGCACCGGCAGGTCCCCGCGGCGGAGGCGCCGGTACAGGTGCGGCTGCGACACTTCGCGCACGTTCTGCAGGAACTGCCGCGTCAGCAGCAGCGTGGCCAGCATCTGCGGGGACACGGGGGACACGGTGTCGCACCCACCCACACGCACACACACACACACGCACCAGCCATGGCTGGGGATTGTCCCCGTGGCATGGCTCCGCGGGGTTCCTGCTCCTCCTGTGGGGTCACTGGTGTCCCCACAGCGTCCCTGCTCTCCTTGGGGTGTCCCTGCTCCTCTCTGATGTCCCCACAGTGTCCCTGCTCCCCTTGGGGTGTCCCTGCTCCCCTTATGGTGTCCCTGCTCCTGATGTCCCCACAGTGTCCCTGCTCCCCTTGTGGTGTCCCTGCTCCTCTCTGATGTCCCCACAGTGTCCCTGATGTTCTTGTGGTGTCCCTGCTCCCCTTGCGGTGTCCCTGATGTCCCCTCAGTGTCCCTGCTCCCCTTGTGGTGTCCCTGCTCCCCTTATGGTGTCCCTGCTCCTGATGTCCCCACAGTGTCCCTGATGTTCTTGTGGTGTCCCTGCTCCTCTCTGATGTCCCCACAGTGTCCCTGCTCCCCTTGTGGTGTCCCTGCTCCCCTTATGGTGTCCCTGCTCCTGATGTCCCCACAGTGTCCCTGATGTTCTTGTGGTGTCCCTGCTCCTCCTGTGCTGTCCCCACAATGTCCCTGCTCTTCTTGTGGTGTCCTCGAGGTGTCCCTGCCCCTCCTGTGGTGTCCTCGTGCTGTCCCTGCTCCTGATGTCCCCTCAGTGTCCCTGTTCCCCTCGTGGTGTCCCTGATGTCCCCTCAGTGTCCCTGTTCCCCTCGTGGTGTCCCTGCCCTTCCCGTCCTGTCCCTGTTCCTGGTGTCCCCTCAGTGTCCCTGTTCCCCTCGTGCTGTCCCCGCTCCTCTCCGCTGTCCCCGCAGTGTCCCCGCCCCTCCCTGTCACCCCCGCAGTGTCCCCTCCGCTGTCACCCCCGCCCGTCGCTGACACCCCGATGGGGCGGGGCCGCAGCAGCGCCACCGCCACCCTGGGGGGCTTGGGGACACCTGTGTCCCCTGGGTGTCCCCTGGGTGTCCCCGCGCTCCTACTTTGGATACTCCCAGGGTCCAGCAAAAGCGCAGGAGGCGCCTGAGGAAGATGAGGGACAGGTGGAGGTGGAGGAAGATGGAGGGGAGCAGAGCCTCCCGGAGCTGCCGCGCGAGGCTCTGCGACAGGGACAGGATGAGCAGGAGCTGCGGAAGGGACACCAAAGGCACAACACGGCGACACCACGAGCACACAGGGACACAGAGACACGCCGTGAGCCGCGCCGGGCGGGGACACAGCGGGGACACCCAGAGGGAAGTGGTGGTGGTGGAGGGGGGTGGAGGGGTGTTGGGGACACTCTGGGGACATCGGCGGCCCTGGCAGGGTCCCCTCACCTCCTTGAGGCGCTCCATGTCCTTGAGGTAGAATCCGATGTAGAAAAGGCTCAGGTAGGAATTGACGAACTGGAACTGGCGGCGACAGTGGGGTGGCACCTCGGTCACCTCGGTGTCCCCTCAGCGCTGGCTGAGACCTTCCGCTTCCCTCCGTGTCCCCTCTGTGTCCCTTCTGGGACATCTCCAGCCCCATCTGTCACCTCTGCAGCTGCCAGGACCCCTCTGGTCCCCTCTGTCCCTCCTGGACCTCTCTGGTCCCTTCTGTCCCTCACCAAGAGCCACTGGGACTCCCCTAGTGCCCTCTGTCCCCTCTGTCCCCTCACCAAGACCCACTGGGACCATTCCAGTCCCCCCAGTGCCCTCTGTCCCCTCTGTCCCCTCAGCAAGAGCTGCCAGGACCTCTCCAGTCCCTCCCAGTCTCCCGGGTCCCTGATCCTGGCCCCCTCCAGTCCCCCGTGTCCCCAGTCCCCACATGTCCCCCGTGTCCCTCAGTCTCCCCATGTCCCCCATATCCCAGTGTCCCCATGTTCCCCAGTGTCCCTCCAATGTCCCCTCAGTGTCCCAATGTCCCCCGTGTCCCCATGTGTCCCCAGTCTCCCCATATCCCCCATGTCCCCCTGTATCGCTGTGTCCCTTCAGTGTCCCCATGTCCCAGTGTTCCCATGTCCCCCAGTGTCCCCTCAGTGTCCCAATGTCCCCCGTGTCCCAGTGTCCCCTCAGTGTCCCCGTGTCCCCTCACCAGGACCATTTTGATGATGAGGTGTTTCTCGTAGGCGCTCTGCAGCCGGTAATTCTCTGCAGGGCACAGGGGGGGTCAGGGGGGCTCGGGGGTCCCAGGGCCACCCCAGGGCCACCCCAGGGCCACCGCAGGGTCCCCAGCGCACCCATGTCATTGAGCCACAAGGCCACTTTCTTGTAGAGCTCGTCACAGGCGGTGACAATGACGGCCAGGATGATTTTGGGCAGGAAGCGAAGGACACGCGGCAGCTCCTGGATGCTGAGCACCAGCTCCTGTGGGGACAGGGAGGGGACAGGGAGGGAACAGGGAGGGGACAGGGACAGGGAGAGAACAGGGACAGGGGCAGGGAGGGGACAGGGACAGGGACAGGGAGACAGTCAGGGTCAGGGTCAGGATCAGGACCTGGAGCAGCACCAGGAGCAGGAGCAGTGCCACTGTCACTGTCCCCAGAGCAGTGTCACTGTCACTGTCCCCGGGCGGGGCCACACCTGGAGCTGGAAGCAGCCGAGCATGAGGAGGAAGACGAGGGTGAGGCAGGCCAGGCACACGGGCAGGCTGACGAGGCTCTGGAACAGGAGGCGCTTCCAGGGCGGGTAATAGAACTCCTCGGCGCTGGTCACCGGGCTGATCCGCTTGGTGCCCTGCGGGCACGGCCGTGGCACCGGTCCTGGCACCCACACACGCTGGCACCCACACACCCTGGCACCCCACAGCACCCCACAGCCCATGGCACACACATCCAGGGACCCCCATGGCACCCCACAGCCCGTGGCACACACAGATCCTGGCACCCCACAGCACCCCAGGGCCCGTGGCACAAACAGCTCGGGGACCCATGGCACCCCATGGCCCATGGCACACACAGATCCAGGGACCCCCCCAGGACGCCGGGGCTGGCAGCTGAACCCCCTCAGGATGGGATCTGGCGGCCTCCCGAGGAATGGGATCCCCCAAAAGGAATGGGATCCCTGGAAGGGATGGGACCCCCAAGGAATGGGACCCCAAGGGATGGGACCCCCAGAAGGGACGGGACCTTTCCCAGGGGATGGAGCCCCTCCCAAGGGATGGGACCCCAAGGGATGGGACCCCCAAGGAATGGGACACCCAAGGGATGGGACCCCCAAGCGACAAGACCCCCAAGGGATGGGACTCCTCAAGGGATGGGGCCCCAAGGAATGGGACCCCAAGGGATGGGACCCCCAAGGATGGGACCCCCAAAATGGGACCCCAAGGGATGGGACCCCCAAGGGATGGGATCCCCCAAAAGGAATGGGATCCCTGGAAGGGATGGGATCCCCCAAGGGATGTGACCTCAAGGAATGGGACCCCCAAGAAATGGCACCCCCAAGGAATGGGACCCCCAAGGAATGGGGCCCCAAGGGATGGGACCCCCAGAAGGGTCGGGACCCCGTGGCGGTGTCTGACCCGGAACTGGGGCCGGGGCTCCTCCAGGGACTCGGCGGGCGTGTCCAGCGTCCCCCACTTGTAGGCGAACTCGGCGCCGCGGCGCTTCCACTCCTCCAGGAAGAGCGTGGCCCAGATGACGTTGAAGATGGCAAAGACCACGCAGGAGATGTCCTGGCTGGTCTGGGGGACAGATGGCACCAACTGCACCGGGGTTGGTCCCCTCCCTGTCCCCACGGCCCCCAAAGCCAGCCCTGTGGGGTTGGGAGTTCCCCCAGCCCCGAGGGAAGGGATGGGGTGGGGGATTGAGGGAAAAGTGGGAGGAAGAGGGAGGGAATCCATCAGGGAAGGGGGGAAACCCCACAAGAAGGGATGGAAAACCCCACAAGGAGGGATGGAAAACCCCACAAGGAAAACTCCACATCGAAGGATGGAAAACCCCACAAAGACGGATGGAAAACCCCACAAAAAGGGATAGAAAACCCCACAGAAAGGGATAGAAAACCCCACAAAAAGGGATGGAAAACCCCAAGGAAGGATGGAAACCCTCAAGGAGAGCTGGTAAACCCCAAGGGGGGATGAAAACCCCACAAAGGGAAGAAAAACCCACAAGGAATGACGGAAACCCTGGGAAGGGATGGAAACCCTTAAAGGAGTTTGGAAACCCCAAGAGGGGATAAAAACCCTAAAAGAAGTTTGGAAACCCTCACAGGAGGATGGGAACCCCAAGAGGGGATGAAAACCCTTAAAGGAGTTTGTAAAACCCTCACAGGAGGACGGGAACCCCGAGAAGGCATGGAAACCCCAAAGAGGGATGGGATGGAAGGGATGGAAACCCCAAGGAGGGATGAAAACCCCACAAAGGGAAGAAAAACCCACAAGGAATTACAGAAACCCCGGGAAGGGATGGAAACCCTAAAAGAAGTTTGGAAACCCTCACAGGAGGATGGGAACCCCAAGGGACAGAAACCCCCCGGGAAGGTTGGGAAGCCCCCCGGAGTGACCCCAGAGTGACCGCAGAGTGACCCCAAGTGACCCCAGGGTGACCCAGAGTGACCCCAGAGTGACCGCAGGGTGACCCCGAGTGACCGCAGGGTGACCCAGAGTGATGCAGGGTGACCCCTGGGTGACCCCGAGTGACGCAGGGTGAACCCAGGGTGACCCCGGGGTGACCCCGAGTGACAGCAGGGCTCACCGGGTCGCTGTCGGTGAAGGTGTAGAGGATGGAGCCGAACACGGCCGGGTACACCATGGCCGAGGTGTAGAAGCCCAGCCAGGCGAAGTACATGGCGATCTTCACCCCAAAATAGTCACAGATGTCATCTGGGGGGGCACAGGGGACATCAGCGGGGCCGGGAGCCCAAAATCACCCCAAATGGACTCCTAAAACCCCACCGGGGTCACCCTAAATAGGACCCCTAAAACCCTGCTAGGGTCACCCCAAAGATCACCGAGGGGCTGGGACCCCAAAATCACCCCAAATGGACTCCTAAAACCCCGCTGGGGTCACCCTAAATGAACCCTTAAAACCCTGCTGGGGTCACCCCAAACGCTCTGGGAGCCCAAAAATACCCCAAAGCCTCATCGAGGGGCTGGGACCCTAAAAACCCTTCTGGAGTGACTCCAAACCCTGTGGGACCCCCAAAAACCCTTGTGGGGTTATCCCAAACCCTATGGAACCCCCGAAAACCCTTCTGGGGTCACCCCAAAGCCCCCAATGCCCCCCATCTCACTGAGGGGCTGCGCCTTGCACACTGCCTTGGGGGTGACCCCAAACCCTGTGGGACCCCCAAAAACCCTTGTAGGGTCACCCCAAACCCTATGGGACCCCCAAAAACCCTCGTGGGGTGACCCCCAAGCCCCCCCTCTCACCGAGGGGCTGCGCCTCGCACACCGCCTTGGGGGTAACCCCAAACCCTGTGGGACCCCCAAAAACCCTTGTGGGGTCACCCCAAACCCTGTGGGACCCCCAAAAACCCTTGTGGGGTGCCCCCCAAGCCCCCCGTCTCACCGAGGGGCTGCGCCTCGCACACCGCCTGCACCCAGGACTTCATCAGGCGCTTGAGGATCCTCTGCTCGTGCAGCGGGAACAGCTGCTGGATCACCCCCCGCGCCGCCAGCTCCGGGACTGCCGGGGGACACGGCGTCAGGGACACGGGGACACCGCCCGGGGTGCCCCCTGCCACCCCGTGCGGCCCTGGGGGGGCGGGAGTAGGGGCGGGGACAATGGGGACAGTGGGGACAATGGGGACAATGGGGACAGCGGGGACAATGGGGACAGCGGGGACATGGGGACAGTGGGGACAGCTCTGTGCCCACCAGGATCCTACAAACCCTGCACAGCACACGGCCCCAGGGATGGGGACAGTGGGGACACAGGGTCCGGGACAGTGGGGACACAGGGTCAGGGACATGGGGACAATGGGGACACAGGGTCAGGGACAGTGGGGACACAGGGTCAGGGACAATGGGGACAATGGGGACAACGGGGACACAGGGTCAGGGACATGAGGACATGGCCCGGGGTCCCTGCTGCCACCCCACGTGGCCCTGGAGGCGCGGGATAGGGGCGGGGACAATGGGGACAGTGGGGACAGCTCTGTGCCCACCAGGATCCTACAAACCCTGCCCAGCACACGGCCCCAGGGATGGGGACAGTGGGGACACAGGGTCCGGGACAGTGGGGACACAGGGTCAGGGACAATGGGGACAATGGGGACAACGGGGACACAGGGTCAGGGACATGAGGACATGGCCCGGGGTCCCTGCTGCCACCCCACGTGGCCCTGGAGGCGCGGGATAGGGGCGGGGACAATGGGGACAATGGGGACAGCTCTGTGCCCACCAGGATCCTACAAACCCTGCCCAGCACACGGCCCCAGGGATGGGGACAGTGGGGACAATGGGGACACAGGGTCAGGGACATGGGGACACAGCCCGGGGTCCCCCACTGCCACCCCGCGTGGCCCTGGGGTGGCAGGGCTGGCACAGGGACAATGGGGACAGTGACACGTGGGAGCCCCGTGCCACAGGGGCAGTGCCAGCAGGTGCCACCGTGTGCTGCGGCAGTGTCACCAGGTGCCCTGGCAGTGTCACTGTGTGCCACAGCAGTGTCCCCGGGTGCCGTGGCAGTGTCACTGTGTGCCACGGCAGTGTCCTCGGGTGCCACAGCAGTGTCACCGGGTGCCGTGGCAGTGTCACCGCGTGCCGTGGCAGTGTCACCGCGTGCCACACTCACTGATGGGCTGTCCCTCCAGGAAGTGGATGTTGTGCAGGGACTCGCCCTGCTTGGCCCGCAGGTTCTCCAGCCAGTAGCGGATGATGCTCTGCCGCTCCTGGGGGACACGCTGCCATTGGCCCGGGTCCTGTCCCCTCCCTGCCCTGGCCCTGTCACCATCGCTGGGCGTGGCTGGATCCTCACCCAGCCTCCCCAGATCCCCATATCCCAACACCCCCATATCTCTGGATTCCTGGACCCCTGTACCCCACATCCTGGTATCCCATACACAATGTCCCCATAATCCCATATCCCCTATCCCACATCCCATATCCCATATCCCACATCCCATATCCCCCATAATCCCATATCCCCCATATTCCCATATCCCCGTATCCCATATCCCATATCCCACACCCCATATCCCACATCCCATATCCCCATAATCCCATATCCCATATCCCATATCCCACATCCAGTACCTCCCATATCCCACACCCCACACCCCGTATCCCATATCCCACACCCCACACCGCACACACCCCATACCCCACACCCCGTACCCTGTACCCCATACCCCGTACCCCGTGCCGGTCCCCACCTGGGAGCTGAAGAAGCCGAGCTCATTCTCGATGTTCTCGTAGATGTAATCCTCCTCGCAGGAGAAGCTGCGCATGCCGCCCCCGAACTCCGCCTTCACCGGCTTCCGCAGCCCCATCTCGTCCGCCCCGCGCAGCAAACTGCGGCCACAGCGTGGGGACAGCGTTGGGGACACGCTGGGGGCACGCTGGGGACACGGCGGGGACACAGAGGGGACGGGCACGCACCTCTCGTAGGTGGCGGTGACGAAGAAGGCGTAGACGCGCGTGTGCCGGTGGTGCCGCACCTGCACGATCAGCTCGGGGATGCCCAGGCGGATGTGGTTCAGCAGCCACAGCAGCGTGTGGTCATCCGTGCTGTCTGTGGGGACAGCAGCGCGCGTCCCACCGTGTCACCAGCGCGGGGCCATCCTGCTGCGTGCCCCTCATCCCTGTGCCCATCCATCCCCATGTCCCTCATCCTTGTCCTGATCCTGCCACACGTCCCTCATCCCTGTGCCCATCCATCCCCATGTCCCTCATCCCTGTGCCCATCCATCCCCATGTCCCTCATCCTTGTCCCCATCCATCCCCATGTCCCTCATCCCTGTCCTGATCCTGCCACGTGTCCCTGTCCCAGTCCCCAGCCCTCCCTGTGTCCCTCATCCCAGTCCTCATCCCTCCAGGTGTCCCTCATCCCTGTCCCGGTGTCCATCCATCCAGGTGTCCCTATCCCAGTCCCCAGCCCTACACATGTCCCTCATCCCAGTCCTGATCCTGCCACATGTCTCTCATCCTTGTCCCCATCCATCCCCATGTCCCTCATCCCTGTCCCCATCCTGCCACGTGTCCCTGTCCCAGTGTCCAGCCCTCCGGTGTCCCTCATCCCAGTCCTGATCCTGCCACGTGTCCCTCATCCTGGTCCTCACCCATCCCCATGTCCCTCATCCTGGTCCCCATCCCACTTCGTGTCCCTATCGCTGTCCCCATCCTGCCACATGTCCCTGTCCCGGTCCCCATCCATCCACACATTCCCCAACCCTTCCCATGTCCCCATCCCTCCCCAATCCCACATCCCCAATCCCGCATCCCCCTCCCCAATCCCACATCCCCAGTCCCACATCCCCCATCCCCACTGCCACCTCCCGGGCTCTCCCCACCATCCCCACCCCCTCCTGCCCCGTCTAGGCCAGATTTTCCCCGCCACATCCCTATCCCGGTTTTCCCGGTCCCACCCCACCCTTATCCCCGTTTTCCCGGTCTCACCCCACCCCGATTTTCCCGGTCCCATCCCAATCCCGGTTTTACTTGTCTCACCCCATCTCGATCTCAGTTTTCCCGGCCACATCCCACCCCAATCCCGGTTTTCCCGCTCCCACCCCACCCCAATCCCAGTTTTCCCGCTCCCACCCCACCCCGATCCCGGTTTCCCGGCCCGTCCCTACCCGGGAATGTCATGAGCACGTCGCAGTTCTCCGTGGGCACCGTTTTCATCCAGGCCTTGTGGGACATGATGTAGCGCCCGGCCTGGAGCAGCCGCTTCCCGAAGAGTTTATCTGCGGGGGGAGGCCGGGAAGGGATCAACGTCCCCGGGCAGCGGATCCCGATCCGCCCCGGAGCCCCGGGCCGCGTCCCCGGCTGTCCCCAACCCGGCCGTGGCACGGGTCACGGCGGTGCCACCGCCCCGGCATCGGATTTCTCCTGCGGCAGCTCCCAAAATCGGCCCCGACAGCTGCGGGGAGGAGCCGCCAGCGCGTCCTGCCACCCCCGGCCGTGCCGAATGTCGCGGGGTGTCCCCTCGGAGCGTCCCCAAAGGCTCTCACCTCCTCCCGGAGCCCGGGCACGGAAAAGCGCAGGAAAAACGGGGACTGGGAAAAAGCAGCCGGTCTCCATGGAAACGCGGCGGGCCCCGCGCCACCGCGCCGGGCTGGGATGGGGACAGTCCCCAAAGCACCCCCGGAGCGCGGGTGGCACCGAGGGGACACGGCAGCTGCCCCGCCCTGGGGTGGACGCGTTGTCCCCTTGCCCGGTGTCCCCAAAGAGCCTCCCGGGGAGGGTGGGCACGGGGGGATCCCAAAAAATCCACCCGGGGCCGGCAGCTAGGGAGAGAGGGATGGGGGTCCCCGGTGGCGTGGGGACCCCGTTTGTCACCTCACTGCCTCAGTGTCCCCTCGTGCCTCAGTGTCCCCTCCTCGGCCGGGGATGTGGCGGTGCCCCAGGGCTGGGAAGGGCGCGGGGTGCCGGAAACCGCCCGGGAAAACAGGAAATGCCAGAGCTGCTGATGGTGGGGAAGGCACCCCAAAAACCGGGCACCTCCCGGGAACCTCGGCTGGGACCCCCCCAAAATCCGGGCACCTCCCGGAAACCCCTGCTGGGATGCCCCAAAACCCAGGCACCTCCCGGGAACCTCGGCTGGGACGCCCCAAAACCCGGGCACCTCCCGGGAACCCCTGCTGGGAGTGTCCCTGTCCCAGTCCCCAGCCCTCCCTGTGTCCCTCATCCCAGTCCTCATCCCTCCAGGTGTCCCTCATCCCTGTCCCGGTGTCCATCCATCCAGGTGTCCCTATCCCAGTCCCCAGCCCTACACATGTCCCTCATCCCAGTCCTGATCCTGCCACATGTCTCTCATCCTTGTCCCCATCCATCCCCATGTCCCTCATCCCTGTCCCCATCCATCCCCATGTCCCTCATCCCTGTCCCCATCCTGCCACGTGTCCCTGTCCCAGTGTCCAGCCCTCCGGTGTCCCTCATCCCAGTCCTGATCCTGCCACGTGTCCCTCATCCTGGTCCTCACCCATCCCCATGTCCCTCATCCTGGTCCCCATCCCACTTCGTGTCCCTATCGACCCCCCAAACCCCACGCCCTGATGGGCTCTGAAAGGCTGCGCTGTCCCCGAGCCGAGGGTGGCAGTTGGGGACAGTGCCAGGCTGCCACCCCCGCTGTGGCACCGGTCCGGCAGGCTGGGCACGGCCGGGTCCTGCCTTGGGGTGCGGGGTAAGATGGTGCCAGGGTTTGGGGGTGATGGGGTGCCAGGGTGGGGGGGTTGAGGTTTAGGGGTGCTGGGGTGTTGGGGTGCCAGGCTGTTGGGGTGTCTGGGTGTTGGAGTAGCAGGGTGCCAAGGTGCCAGGGTGTTGCCACGTGTCCCTGTCCCAGTGTCCAGCCCTCCGGTGTCCCTCATCCCAGTCCTGATCCTGCCACGTGTCCCTCATCCTGGTCCTCACCCATCCCCATGTCCCTCATCCTGGTCCCCATCCCACTTCGTGTCCCTATCGCTGTCCCCATCCTGCCACATGTCCCTGTCCCGGTCCCCATCCATCCACACATTCCCCAACCCTTCCCATGTCCCCATCCCTCCCCAATCCCACATCCCCAATCCCGCATCCCCCTCCCCAATCCCACATCCCCAGTCCCACATCCCCCATCCCCACTGCCACCTCCCGGGCTCTCCCCACCATCCCCACCCCCTCCTGCCCCGTCTAGGCCAGATTTTCCCCGCCACATCCCTATCCCGGTTTTCCCGGTCCCACCCCAGGGCGCGGGGTGCCGGAAACCGCCCGGGAAAACAGGAAATGCCAGAGCTGCTGATGGTGGGGAAGGCACCCCAAAAACCGGGCACCTCCCGGGAACCTCGGCTGGGACCCCCCCAAAATCCGGGCACCTCCCGGAAACCCCTGCTGGGATGCCCCAAAACCCAGGCACCTCCCGGGAACCTCGGCTGGGACGCCCCAAAACCCGGGCACCTCCCGGGAACCCCTGCTGGCAACCCCAAACCCGGGCACCTCCCGGGAACCCCTGCTGGGACCCCCCAAACCCCACGCCCTGATGGGCTCTGAAAGGCTGCGCTGTCCCCGAGCCGAGGGTGGCAGTTGGGGACAGTGCCAGGCTGCCACCCCCGCTGTGGCACCGGTCCGGCAGGCTGGGCACGGCCGGGTCCTGCCTTGGGGTGCGGGGTAAGATGGTGCCAGGGTTTGGGGGTGATGGGGTGCCAGGGTGGGGGGGTTGAGGTTTAGGGGTGCTGGGGTGTTGGGGTGCCAGGCTGTTGGGGTGTCTGGGTGTTGGAGTAGCAGGGTGCCAAGGTGCCAGGGTGTTGGTGTGCCAGGGTGGTGGGGTGCCAGGATGCAGGGGTGCTGGGGGGCTGAGGTACTGGGGTACCAGGGTGTTGGGTACAGGTGCAGCCAGGTTTTGGGATACTGGGCTGTCGGGGTACCATGGTGGTGGGGTGCAGGGGTAGCCGGGTGTTGGGGTGCCAGACTCTCAGGGTGCCCGTGTTTTAGGGTGCCAGGCCATTGCCGGTGGGCACGGGGCTCTGGCCGCGGTGGCAGTGCCACCCTGCCCGGGCAGCCGGGTGACGCCGGCGGGCTGAGCTCACCCACCCTGCATTATTTATGTCCCTCCCGCAGCGGTGCCACCCGCGACACTGCCACCCGCGTGGGGCGATGCCCACCCCGGGGGCACAGACCCAGGGCCGGGGGGGCTTTCCGTGCCCAAGGTGACGGAAAAGGGGGGGTCCCCAGCACCCCCAGGCTGGCTTGGCTTGGGGGTGACCGCCACCCTCACCCCGCTGTCTCCGCAGCCCCTCCCGACACCAAGGTGGCCCCGAGGGCTCGGCCACCCCCCGGGTCCCCCCGCTTGTCCCCGTTTGTCGCCGGCCGTGCCGCTCACCTTGGCTCCCGGGCTAAGGTCACCGGAGCTGCGGCGCGGCGGTGCCCGGGACCGAGCGGCGTCCCGGGGGGGGCACGAAGTGGGTCACGGGCAGGAGCCCCGCTCGGTGGCACAGCTGCCACCAAGCCCTGCCACCCCCCCTCCCCCGCCGCGGGGACCCCGATCAGGGGATGTCACCTGGCCCAGCGCCACGCGGGGGAGGGGACCCCAACGACAGCGTGGGGACAGCGACACAAAGGCTGCGAGCTGCGCCACCCCCCTGGCGTGCCGGGGGGGGCCCGGGCTTGGCAAGGGGGGGGACAAAACCTTCCCGGGGTGGGGGTGGCACGGGGGATGGCACCCCCCCGGGTGGAGGGGGGGCTCGGAGCCGCCCCGGTACCGGGGGGATGCTCAGAGCTCCACCGGCAGCCCCGACCCCCACCGGCGGTCCCGGCGAGCCGCATCCCGGCCCGCATCCGCAGCGAGCCGCACCCGGCCCTCCCCGTGCCCCCCCGCCGGTTCTCCCGCACCCCCCGGTTCCCCGTACCCAGCACTCCGGTGGGGGCCGCCGGTTCCGCTCGCTCCTCCGCGGCCGGGGCCCGCCGGGGCCGCTCTCCGTCTTGCGCCGCGGCCGCCGC